TGTTAGTAGATTTTAGTTGGTTTTAGAATATAATTTGATTATTACCTTGAAAAGAGGTTTTTTAAAAAGATTACTATAGAATTTGTATAACTTTAATTTTCTTTTGATAGTAGCTTTTAAGATTGGTTTTGGTTGATAGCAACTTCTAAATATTTAGAGTCACCTTTGTTAGACATTGGTGACCTTTGAAAACTTATTTTAGTTCTTTTATTTGGTGTTTAGAGCATAAATTATGTAAATCTTATAAGAAAAAGGATTGAAGAAGGATTTTGGTAGCAAAAGGAATAATTAGAGCACCAATATAGATAAATGGAGATGAATGATGAAAATCTCCATTCCTATTGGTCAAAAATCATAATCAATAGGCTTTGAGGAGGCTGCCCGAGGCCATATTAGGAATTAGGATTAGTTTTCTTAGGCCATTTGAGTTTTAAAGGCTAGGATCAGCAATTTTAGGTTTTTGGCTATGGTTTGGATGTAAGTTTTGTATGATTTGGAGTTTATATGAAGAAGATATAGGCGCTCAAATTTAAGGTATTGATTTGGGAGCTACTGTCACTCTTTTTGGCATAACACACGCGTGTGGATAACATATGAGGATCAGCAACTGCGACTGAAGAAAGCACTTTTGCGGCTATACTTTTTGCATATTGCTTGCTGGTTTCCAAGTTTGCATGAGGGAGTTATTGGATTTTGAAGTCAGCGCATGCAATCTAAGGGTAGTGAGTGACCCGATTTACTAGTAGTTGTGGCTTGAGCTATATCTTGAGCAATTTCATAAGGTTTTGGCTCATAATTTCAAAGAATGTGTTAATTCATGTTAGTAAACTTTGTACATAAGTTTGATGACATTTGAGCATTAGATTCTTGAGATATTAAGAAAATAGTGCTTAGGTGCTTGTAAATTAGGGTTTAGAACGTCTGCTAGGAATTCTTAGATGCAAGAAGATCGGAAGTGAATTTGCAGTTGGTTTTTTTGTGATAAAAGTTAAGGGTAAATTCTACCTATCCTATAAATTTGAAATAATCTGAACGGTTAGATCAAGAGTTATGAATTTCTAAAGTTTGGAAAAAGAAAACCCTTTGCGGGAAAAATATGTTTTTAAGGGATTTTGTTATATTTTGAGTTTTATGCAAATAAAGGAGTTTTGGAAGCTAAGACAAGATTCATATAAAGGTTTAAGCTACACTCTCAACAGCTAGATATCCAATATATTCCTAGATAGCAAATCATGCCATACGACAGTGTTTTCTAGATAATCATGTCATTCTTGAAATGAGTCCACAGTTGTAAAAATTTATATATTATGGATCTTGTAATTAATCTTGATTGTTAAAAAAATCTTAAATAAAAAGCTAAAAGGTGAAATTTGTACTTTTGCTCTTATTTGTGATGATGTTGCACTCAAGGCAAAATCAAATGAGTTTGTTTCTTTAAAAAAATAATACCTTAAAAATTCAATAAATATACAATATTAAATAAAGCCAACTCATTTTTTAATAAGTTATTTACTAATCCAAATGGTAGTTCACTTCTTTTTTTAAGATAAATTTAACAAACATAAAGACATTGATTTAAAAAATTATTTGCATTTAATTTCTTAAAAATATCTTAATAATCTTTATATAAGCTTTGAATATTGCTTTAAGTTTTTCTATCATTAAAAAAATATATGACATGAATAATAAAAGATGATTCTTATTTTGTAGCGTGCATGAAAGTTCTTATATCTACAAATAAGAATTTTATTATATTAGATTTATAACTTTCTACCTAATTAGTAAAGTCTTAGTTATATTATAGAAAAAATTGAGATTATGAGAAATATAATCTATTTAATAATTATATATATTTTTAACTAAGATAAGCTTAAAATAATTTTATGAAAAAGAGATTTAATAATATAAATTATTTAAACTATTTATTAATAATTATGGTTTTTATTTGTGATTTTATGGCTTTTTTGAATAATATTAAGTAATATGCTTAGATTTTCTACAATACAAGCACAATCCTTCTTAACAATATTCAACATTTTTTCTTTTTAATAAAAGATTTGAAATACATTATATTAATTTATACATGTTTTAATTTTAATAATTAATTTTTTTAAAACTTAGGAGTTATTGTCATAACTTAAATTTTTTTTCCTTCAACCAACTATTTGTTCTTTTTGCATTTCAAAAAGTTCATTGTTATTTGCAATAGCTTTAAGAATAAAAAAATTTAATAATTTTTTTTAATAATATTAATAATAAATCTTTGATATTATTCTCTAATCCATATCAAAATTGGTTTATAAGGGAATTATTTTTCCAATCCATGTCACAAGCAAGGCTTTGAAATTTAGAAACATAGATGGCAGTTAATCATTACTCTTATTATAAAATAAGAATTTTATTTTTGCTACTTGTTTTCAATCACTCTTTCTAAATGTGGCCATAAATACTTCCAAAAATAAATTTAGATTATATAAAAGTTTTAAATTTTTTTCCATCAAAGATACAAATTAAAAGAGAGCACTCTTAAATATAAGTGAACCTATTAACTTAACTTGAATAAGTCTATGAGGACATTAGGAAGGATGTAATCTTAAATATAACTTCACTTATTGTAGAAATCTTAAATATTTTGATCTTATTCCATCAAATTTCTTTGGCATATTAATCTTTGTTTCATTCATAGTTATAGTAGCAAGGCTTTTTGAATTCACATGTAGGATAGATTTTCTTGTTTTTTTTTAATTCTACAACTTCTTGGCATAGATATTAGATTTCATTATTGATATCTTTCATAGGCATAGAAATAATACCTTTTTTTAATTGGCATTGGTAATACTTTAAATTTCTACCATAAGAGTGTTGACAAGTATGTGAAGATTTGCAATAGTTGAAAATCTATTCTCACTTCTACAAAGAATATCATCTATATTTTGTTTTCTATTTTTCTTAACAATAAACGACTTTAACAAATCTATAAGTCAAATTAAAGGAGGATAATCTGCAACTTCTAATATCAAATCAAAATTTCCACAAAGAATGATAGTCTATTTTCTTTAAAGAAAGAATCAATGTTAGAAAAAAAAATTAATTTAAAGTTGAAGATGTTGATAAGAATGAAGAAGGCATGACTCTTGTGTCTATACATACTATCTAATTAAAAAGCTATATGGCTATGTTTTACAAGTCCTTTGACATATACCTAACTTGTAAGACATATTTTCAACTTGCGAGACATATTTTTAACTTGTAAGATAAGTTTTCCACATGTGCACCATATGATCAACTTGTACCACAAGTAGTCAACTTTTTGGCCAAGTTTTTAATTTATCAATTACCTACAAATACTTATAAAGTCAAATCCTCATCTATAAGGCTTCTAAAAAGCATCTCTATAAGATTTTATTAAATTTACTTATTTTTACTTCTATCTAACTCCTCTTATTTGATTAATTACTAGTACCAATATTGATATTTGTAATACAAGGTTATATGAAAGATTTTTAAGAATCATAAAATATAAAGCATCAAATTATAAATAATAACCATAATTTTATAAAAATATAATTTTTAATCTAAAACATATTTTATTATTAATTAAATGATTAATTTATATTTTTGGTTTTTTCAATAATTTTAAATAAAGAATGTAAAAAAAATTACTTCTAATTTTACAATTTTGAGAAATATTTTCTAAGTAATTAATTGAAATTAAATTCTTGTATAAGATGAAACCTCAATTATAAATTTTTGATAGTAATAAAGATTTTATAAATAGAAATTTATTGATTCTATTTATAAATAAAATATCTATAAAATATTTATAAAAATTATAAATTATGTTAATTAATCTATCATTATAAAAAAATTAAAAATAAATAAAAATAAAGTTTATAATAAAAAAATGACTACTATTATCTAAAATATATATTTATTAGAAAAAACTACAATATTTGTAAAAATAATCTTTGTTTAAGAGAGAATATGTATACCAAATCTGTATAAAAATTATCTTAAGACATACAATATTATAGATAATTTAGAAAAAAATGAAATATTGGTTCTTTAATCAAATATAATAGACTTAATGTAGATTTTATGATAATATATATAAAAATATTACAAATAAGATTTAAAATTATTTGATCTATAGTATTGGTAAAAATTTAAAAAGAGACAATACTCTTGTCACATATAAGAAGAAAGAGAGGAAAAAAGAAAAAGAAAAGTTTTCTACACTCAAAAATACATGAAGGTTATACTCAAAAATGTGTGAAGGTGACAATTCAATTTTACAAAACTGGTACTTAGTTTGAACTTTGACCTTTTTATTTCATCTATTTGTCATCTATGTGTGTCTACAAATAGAGATGTTGGATAGCTACCTCAAACTCTTTGAACAACTCACTAACAAAAAACACACCGATTTTTAAGAACCCCTAAAACAATAATAAAAGGGGTACAAGAAAAAATAAAATAAATAGTTTGGATTTTTTTGGAAAAAATACACAAAATCATTTACTAGCAACTTGACAAGGTTTTTAGCTAAGGCGGCCAAGACCAGGACGGACCCTGGTGCTAGGAGCTCATTTAGAGAGTGTGTTGATTGATTTATTCATTCAGTACCAAGAAGCAGCTGTGTAGGTGAATTCCACTACAACCAACCAAGACAGTAGTCCCCCTCCAACATTCATTCAGTATTATTCTGTCTAACATTCACAAGTGGATAAAAAGACACAAAAGGAGCGTGAAAATAGAGAGAGGTGGGCACAAACCAGGGTGCCAAATGGTGCCGAGGATGGGGCGAAGGAGGAGGAGGAACCGACGACGCACGCCGACGCCAGTATTGCCAATCCATGCGATGCAATGCGATGCGAGCTCGGGAACCAAGACGGACGGACGGACGGACGGCGAGGTGCGACGAAGCAAGGAAGGAAGGGAGAGAGAGGGAGAGAGAAGCTCTGCTCCAGGGAACAGGGGGATATGATGAAGGAGATGATGATGCCATGGCAGTGTCGTCGATTCCTCATTTCCTCGCTGCTTTCCTTTCCTCGTTGGGAACCAAGCTTGCTGCCATGTTGCTCGCGTCACCAATCATCCCCGCACGAAGTTGCACTTGCCCTTTCCTACCCCACTTCCGATTCCCTCCCCCTCTCTCCTACACAGATTTATAGCAGCAGCTCCCTCTGGGTCGTCTGTGGATGTGCATATGCATATATATTGCAGAGTTTGATCCTTCCACATCGTCAGCATTCTTCGTTTTGTCTTGTCTTGGCCGCTTTAGTCTCACGAGGTGGAGGCTTCGTTGGAAGCAGTGAGTTTTGTTGCGGTTTGTGTGAGGAGAGAAGTGGGAAGCCCAACGTCGGGTGCACGAGAGGTAGGAGTCCTTTGAAGTTAATGGTGTGTGTATGTGTATGTGTGGGATTGGCTATGGCGATGATGATGTAGTACTCCTCTGTTTGCTTTTTTGGTTTTGTTTTTGTTTGTTTGTTTTGTTTTGTTTTTGTTTTTTTTTTTTTTTTTGTTTTTTGTTTTTTCTTTTTCTTTCAATGGACTGATTCAGCGTTCGTGAGTCGCGAGGGTGCGGTTTGAGGTGTGAATCAGAGGTGGGTTTTTTCAAGCTGGAGATTGGTTAGAACTGGTCTTGGGTTTTGGCAGAATCAGCTTTCTTGCGATGAATCCTTCAGCGCTTCTCTAATTAAGAGCGCGTGTGGAGCGCAATTGGGTTTTCAAGGAGTATGTTAGGGGAATTCGCTTATTTCGTAATCGAAATAATTGCAGAATTTGGCAGTCGCATTGGATTCGTCGTGGGTAGAATTTGTTGGAATTAGTCTGTAATATCAGAGGGGTGCCGGGGGGTAACGCAGAGCATAATCTTGATTCGCAGCTTTGATGATGTTGCGCTCCTGCGCCACCCAGCTAATGAATCCTGGCCAGCAGATAGTCTCGATCTGGAGTGCTACACCTCGCTGTGCAGCTCCATGGAATGTTTCAGTGGCCCTTCTGTCCACGCGTCATGCACCATGGAGGCCGTCAGCGGGTTTACATCACCTGTCGGCCTATCGCGTTCCCTTCAGATCGTCGACAGGTCAATCATTGTGTATCTTACTCATTAGGATCCCCATATGGTTGGTGGGCATTCTCTCGCAGGATTTGAGCTCATTCCTCGAGTTCCTTCTTTTTAGCCGCAGCATGAAATGCGCGACTGCCATGACACAGAATCCAAATCCTGGAATTCTAAGGCAGTGGCACGTCTTTGTTACACATGCCATTGTTGGGATGAGTTCTTGAATTTTACCCTGGGCTTATAGGTTCTGTTTGTCTGGTTTCAGGATCTGAGGTGTTGAAGAATACAAGACGCCCATACTTTCTCAAGCCATTCTCTTTCGCCATGTCGAGGACTTCTTTGCATGAAACACATGATGGCGAGTTTAAGCGCAAGGAATCCGAGTTCCGGCATTTCATCTCCCGGGAGCCCGGTGCGGAATTCCCTCCTGAGGCGGATAGATACCACCTATACATATCCTACGCGTGCCCATGGGCGTCACGGTGCCTTGCCTTCTTGAAGCTCAAAGGGCTCGACCACGCCATTGGTGTCACCGTTACGAAGCCAAAATGGGGAGAGACGAAGCCCAGCGTTGACGATCACCATGGCTGGATGTTTCTTGAGGATGGGGAGGACGTCCCTGGCGCCATGAAGGATTCTCTTAACAATGCCAAGTCTATTCGAGACCTTTACGAGATTGCCAGCACGGGCTACACGGGGAAATACACGGTCCCCGTACTGTGGGACATCAAGACCATGCGAATTGTCAACAACGAAAGCTCGGAGATCACAAAGATGTTCAACGACGAGTTCAACGACATAGCCAAACACCCCGAGGTGGACTTGTTCCCCGAGCACCTGAAAGCAAGCATCGATTCCGTCAACAGCTGGACATACAACGCCATAAACAACGGCGTGTACCGTTGCGGCTTCGCCACCAAGCAGAAGCCTTACGAGGAGGCATTCAACCAGCTGTTTGAAGCGCTAGATAGGTGTGAGGAGATCCTATCCAAGCAGCGGTACATTGCTGGCAACGAACTCACCGAGGCCGACATTCGCTTGTTCATGACCTTGATCCGCTTCGACGAGGTCTACGTCGTCCACTTCAAAACCAACAAGAAGTTCATCCGTGAGTACCCCAACCTGTTCAACTACACGAAGGATTTGTTCCAGGTTCCCGGCATCGGAGCTACTGTCAATATGTACCATATCAAGCACCATTATTATGGGAGTCATCCTTCCATCAACCCATTCGGTATCGTTCCTGTGGGGCAGAAGATTGACTACTCCGCACCGCACGACCGAGACCGTTTCTCGAAGGAATCTGCATAAACCCAGACTCCTCAACTTATAAGTGTATTTAAGGTGGCACATCGTCTTAGTATGTTGGCTAAATGTTCAGAGACAGGATACCGGTAAAGCAGCGGCTTTGGCAGCTCGTGAGTTTTTCAGTCGTCCATGGTGTCTGCAAATTTTGTATTCGTAGGACAGCAGGAAAGCAATCAACCCCTTGTTTCAAACTCAACTCGTCTTAGAAAGTATGGCAGTTGTAAACAAGTATGACGACACAGGCTCCCCATCTGATCATACTAAGAACAATCAGATGGTTTTATGTTTGGGCATAACTTGGCAAAATGCTTAGTATCAAAGGTTTGTGTACATGTGAGTCACAGAAATAAGGCTCCCCTATTTCCATGGCAATTGTTTTTGATACTGAAGCTCTAGAAAGGTGCGAGGAGATTCTATCTAAGTAAATAGCAAATATAGCAAATGTAGTCGCATCATTGAACTATGTTTTCATTGAGCAAGTTGGAGTATGTTTTGCAAATGAAATTGTTTCGAGTAAAACAAGGCTTTTTTCAGTTTTTTGGAAATTTTGTTAAGATTAAAAATTTCCATACGGAGTAGTCAAGAAAGGATCATTATCCAATTTACTGGACAACTTTCTTAAGCTTCAGAATTTTTGCTTATCAAGTTGTATTTTTTGCATTGTTGCAAACAAAATTGAATTAATGATTTATGGTGTTCTAATTCATATTGGCAACAAAATAAAACTCAAATTTTATCAGTGTAACACTATATTATACTGTATTATAGGTAATAATAAAGCAAAATATTTATCTAATTCCATTGGCAATAACATCAAGTTCGAAATGCGTTGACATGAATTTGTGTAAAACTATTGTAAGATTTTCTACCTGTTCTAGCAATGAAGTTTTAATCTGGTATATATACATATACATGTATGTAATTGATTTTATATTGATATTTTTGTGATTACGAATTATACCTTCGAATTTTATGTTTTATAAAACATTTCTCAAGTTATACTAAAGTATATTGTACTTAAAACATACTAGACATGTTTTAATTAAAAAATAAAATAACTATATGAATAATTAAATTCAATCTACAAATATCCTAAATTCTTTCATACATACATGAATCTTGAATACGAAAATCCCTAAATCAAAATGCACATGCATATAATAAATTAAAATCCCGGGATTGTTGTTATTCATAAGTATAAAATTAAAACTTTTGTTTGTTGTTATTCATAAGTATTGTGCTTCAATTTTTATTAATCTAATTACATTACAAAAGATTCACATTTTCTCACCACTAAACAGACCTGTATGAATTCAAAAAACTATTTGAAATTTCAACCTTAAAATATCTCACAGGCGGTGGTTTATTTTATTGCACCCAAATTAAACAATACAACAAGCATCTTAAACACAGTCGAGCGTGTGGATTATTGGCACGTAAAGTCTTGACCCACGGCAATGGACACCCTTGCGAAGAGGTCCATGACCGCTAAAGCTGGGGCCCGATACCGCTCCGAAGAGATGCCCATAGCCGTGGTATAAGGTAGGGACAGTGGGATCGGAGTTGTTGTGGTGAGCGGAGCTCGGAGAATGAATGGCGATGGATCGATCGCCTCCTTTGTGAAGACAATTCGGAGAGAACTCATGCTTCAGCCGCTATTGCGGTAGAAAATTGGGACTGATTGCTATGGCTGGTGAGGATGTTGAGGTTTTGGAGGAGGCTGGGCTGCGGGCCGAGGTGGAACCCGTGTTATTGCAACCACTGGTGGAGGGAGGAGGAGGGAGCGGGTACGCTGCGACTGCGGCGGAGAAATCCCCCCGGCTGGCGTCTCTGGACGTATTCCGTGGGCTCTCAATTGCAGTACGTCATGTTTCTTTTTCCTAATGGGTTTGCTTATGTCCCGGAAGCGTACTCTGCGATTTTAATTTTAATTTTGATTTAATATAATTTTAATTCTGAGGGGGTGATGTCATTGATTCAAGAGGCGACCGCGTTTTGTTGCCGATTGGGGCTCTGTATTGTCAAGTTGAGATGCACGAGTCCTTATAACGGAAGGGAATCTGACGTGTTACTTTCACTGTTGCCATCATCGTGTGATTGCTGTGTGTATCCAACCCTAATTTTTTGCTTTGATGCGTGGGGAAACTAGCATTAATTTGATAGGAGCTCGAGATTGTCTATGAGGGTCTGATAAAATCATGATTTGAGCAGTTTGCGGGGAAAAAATGTTATGCTGTTTGCAATTGTGCTTGTAATGCTCCTCGAGTTGTGTGACCTAGCGTTACAGTTTAAAAGTCTGGAATAATTATCCTAATATGTCACTGTTGCAACTAAATCACCAGGTGTTTGAATTGGCTTCTTGCATTGACTACTGCGTAATAATCCTATCTTGTGCAGGTGATGATACTGGTGGACAATGCCGGAGGGGTTTGGCCATCTATAAATCATTCTCCTTGGACTGGCATTACTCTAGCTGACTTTGTGATGCCCTTTTTTCTGTTCATAGTGGGTGTAGCACTCGCCCTTACATACAAGGTGGCTCTCGCTCCGCCGCCTTCTCATCTTGATTCGCTGACTTCTGAGGCGATTGTCTGTTAATTGATTGCTTAGCAATTTTAGGTCTCAGTCGTTGATTGGGAACCTTATGTCTGCAGAGAATAACCAGGGACAAAAAGGTAGCATCGCAGAAGGCACTAGGCCGAACTGCGAAACTTCTAATTGTGGGACTTGTTATTCAAGGTATTGTCACAATAGTGCTGAGCTTACGATGGTTGACGCTGTACTGAATTCGATGTTGCTTGATGAAGAAATCGCAAATCGTCACTTGTTTAATTTCATTGCAATTTAAGCCCTTGTTTTTGACAAGGAGGGTTTTCCATGGTTTTAAATTGACAAATTTTAACTTTCCCAATTGTAAGTATTGGTCGTTCTTGAGCATCCTGAAATACTGTCATTCTTTTGATCATCAGCGCATTGGTGCTTACAGGTGGCTATTTCCATGGACTCCATGATACGTCATATGGAGTGGACCTAGAACGCATCCGCTGGTGTGGTGTTCTTCAGGTATTTCTCATCTGTCCTTGATTGCGGAAAATTCATTGCGACCATGGGGTCATTCTGATTAATATACAGCTGCTTTCAACGGGAAGGGATATGTGTAGGAGCGTGCTTTACTTCTCAATAAAATTACTACTTGTTTATTCATGAAACGCTGGTAGGAGTAATTTTCAAATCCGAGATATGCAACTCTGTGTTCACTACTGTTCCTCTATCATGCATCGCTTCTGGCTGCAGAGAATAGCACTGGCTTACATGGTAGTTGCCCTCTGTGAGATTTGGGCCCCGCGCAGACGTCAAGATGTTTCAAATGACAATTTCGCTATCTTCAAGACATACCACTTTCACTGGTGAGTGCTATTTCAACATTGAGATCCCTTCAAAATCAAGTTATGGCATTCTTCCTCTAGATCATCTAGGATATCCTCTAGATCATATTTTTTTCACTTTATGAGGGTAATAACACGAGTCCTCGGGAAATTATGTGAGAAGCTTGTTGATGAAGTTACTTTTAAAGGGTCCTGGGGTTTCAGGGCGGTGGCAGCTGCAATTGTGGCGACGTATTTGGCTCTGTTGTATGGAGTTTATGTTCCGGATTGGGATTTTATTCCTCCAACAGTTTTAAATTCAACTGCCCTTCATGTAAGTGTTGTTAGAGTGAATGGAAGCATGTCTGAAGTTGATCAACTTGTAGTCCTTGACCATATTGAACACGACTAGTTTTAAGAATGTCGCGTAACCATCAGCTGAAGCGATTTTTGCAGAAATCAAACTTAAATTCGATTTGCAAACAGAAGTACGTATAAGTAGTTGGGGGCTTAAATACTGCATGTAACGGTAGCTCAAATGCTCAATGATCGCATAACTTGAGTCGTTGGTGAGCATCATAGACAAGCGGACTTCAGGTGAACAACATGAAATTTTTCTTACTTTCATAATTTGCTTCAGGTGCACTGTGGAGTGAGGGGTAATATAGGGCCTGCCTGTAATGCTGTGGGCTACCTGGATCGCACTATTCTGGGCGTATCGCATTTGTATCAAAGGCCAGTGTTTCGACGTACTCCGGTATGTTGCAACGGCAATCTGCATCTGTACTGCTGAGTTTGTTACATTCGCTAGTCTCGATGCGCAAAGTTGGCTTATTTCTCAAAACCTTGGTTAAATAACTGATGGCGTCAGGTCATCTTGAAAGCTTAGAACAAAACGCATTAAAATTGGATGAAATAAAATAATTGAAATTGGGAAAGTTCGGTTTGTTAGGCTTGCAGTGTGAACTCCCCGGACTATGGGCCTCTACCGTCAGGTGCTCCTGATTGGTGCAAAGCACCTTTTGATCCTGAAGGTCTTTTGAGGTATACTATCAACTCCACTTCCTTATTTTCCCAGTGATGATCATCAAACTGTCAAGTCAGTTCTGTTGGATACCTTCAATCCCTTCTGAACTATGATTTGTCCGTTTTCTCTGTTTACATGCTAGGGTTTTTTTGGGTGAATTTTAGCTTATTTAAGTAGCTGACATCTTTACAATTTCTTTTTGTGGAATACGCATGCAGCTCTTTGTCAGCAGTCGGCAGCTGTTTTTTGGGGCTACATTTCGGTCATGTTCTTGTCCATCGCAAGGTTGAGCCTGGTGTAAAGCATATCTAATGCTAAGTATCCTGTTTCTGAGAGATGCTTTCTTCCTTAGCTCCCAGCATAAGTTACATGAACATCCATGTCGGCTAGTCTGTTCCTCACATTTTTCTTTGACCTTGTTTACTTGGGATAATCAGGAACATATTGCGAGATTATGGGATTGGATGATCATGTCGTTGGTTCTGCTTATAGTGGGTCTACTTCTTCACCTATTAGGTACGCTTTCTATCTTATGTAACTTTTTAATTCAAAAATATCATTGGAGTATCTTTAGAGGAGTGCTCGTTAAGTTGCAGAATTGATAGAACAGTTGCGAAAGTTCTATCTCACGAATTGCCCAGCTATGTATCAACGGCGCAATACCATATGAAATAGTGCGAATGTACAGGTGTCCCATTCAACAAGCCGCTCTATAGTGTCAGCTATATGCTGTTCACGGGAGGTGCTGCAGGAGTCGTATTTGCAGGCTTTTATCTCCTGGTATGTTCCTCAAACTGTTGCTTATGCTTGTATGCTAGAATGATAGTACCCCCTCTATGTATGAGAACGGATAACTTTCTTTGCATAATAAAATATAATAAAATAAATATGCAAATAACAGCTTATGCTTCTCTGAACCTTAAGAATTGCTTCTTGCATGCACGACAATCTATTCCATGTTCAACAGAGTATGGTTTGAATCATAGTGAGGTTTCAGACTTTACTTGAATCTTACGCAGGTGGATGTCTACGGCTGGAGAGGCCCCACATTTCTATTGGAATGGTTGGGTCAGAATGCACTTCTCATGTATGTCTTAGTTGCTGAAGGAGTATTTCCAGCTGCTCTCCAGGGAATATACTGGAGGAAACCAGAGAATAACTTGGTAAAACTACTTTTACGTCACCTCGTTCACTTTTGTCAGTTTCTTGGGAAATCATATAACACGTATATAACTCAGCTTTGAATATTATGAAATGACCGATCACTTTCTGCACATTGATGAGGAAGTATTATCGATCTACTGTCGTCGTGGATAATGTCTGAGTGGATGAATGTTTGTTGCTTCGGGTGGGTTGACAGGTTGCTTGGGTGGTTAACAATGGCCCATGGCATAAGCAGGGCCTTACGCACCACCGAGTTCCTTTCACCCTATCAGATTTAAATGCTGCCTGAGACTTAACGGATCTGTTGCGCTTTGTTACACAGGTCGATCTTGTTGAGGCGCTTTTTGAGAACATTATTGAGTCACGAAGGTGGGCCAAGGTTGTTGATGTGCTCTGCGAAATTCTCTTTTGGTGTTTCGTGGCTGGGTTTTTAAAGTACAAAGACAGTTTTTGGAAGCTCTAGGGGGTTCGAGAACATCTTTTGTGGAACAAAATGACAATTTCCTTCGCAGAGTTTTAATACAGTATTTTGTGTTGTAAATAAGGATTTCCTAGCCTGACTGGTCAATTGTCGTTGATGCTTTGGGGATCTCGCTCATCGCTAGCAGAGAAGAATTTTTACAGTAAGCTGAAATTTACAGTAAATTATGCAGAAAGTACTCGGTTTTCATTCTGCTCCTTATTCCTACAGCATCCTGGGTGTAGAAAAAAAGGAGGGGAATGTGGTCGCCCACCATGTCTAACCACCTCACCTTATGCTGTCATGACGCACTTAAAAACACCTTAAATGAGCCTTTTCGCTGTCACATGTATTTCATGAAAAAGAAATGAAGAGACAATATATTTATATGGTTCTTGTATGGCTTTCGCTTCTATTCGTAGGGACTAAACCTGTTTACGAAGTTCTCATTTGGGATATCCAAATTTTGGTATTTTAATGGAGGATAAATAATGTTTTTCTTTGCTTGAGCTTTGTTTTTTACTACAAGGAAAATACTATTACATTGACCTCTAGGTACGTAATCAAAAGCATTATGTGGACTGAACTCAAAGACAGTCTTGGTAGATAAGTTGATAATGATCAACTTATCTACCAAGACTAATCATCACCTTAGTCTTGTTTTGTTATTCGATTACCTTTTTTTTTTTTTTTTTTTTTTTTTTTTAACACCCAAATTATCTATCAACATCTGTGTTTCAACTTCTTTACTATTTAAAGATTATTTATTTTAAAAAAAATTACTTTTAGAATTTAATTAAGAAAATTAGTATATATGTATAAATATATATATATATATATGTATAAATATATATATATATGTATAAATATATATATATATGTATAAATATATATATATATGTATAAATATATATATATATATGTATAAATATATATATATATATATATATGTATAAATATATATATATATGTATAAATATATATATATATATGTATAAATATATATATATATATATATATATATATGTATAAATATATATATATATATATATATGTATAAATATATATATATATATATATTACTACAAAAATAATCCAATAGGGGATAACTTATCCTTTTAATTGGCTCATGCATTTTGAACAAAGATTTCATAGAATTGATGTAGAAAATATGGAGTTGGTATATATGAAGAAAGATTAAGTGGATGCAAAAGAAGGATTTATTAGGAGATAATTACTAGGATATATGTGGAAAAAAATATATGATTAAATAATTGGTTTTATGGTAAAACTCTATTTATTCAATGTATGTTGGAATATGCTTTGCAAGAGATTAAAGTTGGAAAATTTAATTATTAAATGTATTGTGCATGAGAAAATGTTATGGTAGTGTATTCTTACTTGGAGAGAGGGGCTTAAATAAATAAATAACATAACATAACAAAACAAAACAAAAAAAAATCAAGTTCAAAGTGGAATCTTATAAAAATGCTGATATATCTCTTATTATTTTTTGCCATAGAATTCAAGAACTAAGATATATCAATGCAAATTATGGATTTGAGCCATGTTAGAATGTTTTATGTCTATTATCTTATATAGACTAATATAGGAATAAAAATATATTCATGGTTTTTTATTCAAAAAGATGTTGTAAATTGAATTTTATTCAAATTTTGCTTAAAGGTAGATTAAGTTACCATAGTGAATACGAGTATAAGACAATTTCATGTCAAAATTATTGTCAAGTGGAAAGTTGTGTAGTAATAAGATGTTTTAAAAGAAATTTAAAGTGAATGGATGAACTAAACAAAGTGGCTACTAGTATTTTACTTTGTAAATTTAATTGGATTCAAAAACTATGGCTTGTTAAAAAAAAGAAAAAAATGAAAAAAAAAAATAATAAAAATTTTCTGGTGTTCAATATTCTTAAGTTTTTATTTTCTTAAGGTGACATTTTTTATAGTATTTTTTATAATAAATATATTTAATCTTTCTTTTTATATTCTTTGTAAAAAAAATTAATTTTTTAATCTTTTGAAACATTTTATTCTTTCAATATAAATCTCATATGTAATTTATGATTTTATTATATTATATTTAATATAATTTATAAATTATTAATTTTATGAAGATATATATATATATATATATATCTATATATATATATAATTTAAATATAAAATTTCTTTTTTGATATAATTATTTTATAAATAAGCTTTAAATAATATTTTACTTATATATATTATTTAAAAAAATATAATTATTATTTTTTATATTATACATAAAAAAATATTAATTTAAATTTTTCATATTTTAGATTGTATCCCTATATATATGTGTATGCTAATTTTATTATCAAGAAATTTTTGTTTCTTAATAGTATCTAATTTAGAAGGTAGCATCAAATAAAGATCTTCTATATATATATATATATATATATATAAAGATATATGCAATAATATTTTTATAACTTAATATGGTTGATTGACAAAATTGATACTAGCTAATAAAATATATAAGCTTATTGAAATAGAAAAGTGGATGTTATATTTAAGGTAAATTTATTTCATAGAATAGATAAACTTCTCTGAAATAACATTTCTTTTATGATGTTGTTAGAGTTCATTCTAATATAAAAGAGATATTTTTTGGAAGTTTAGTTATTGTTTATGTCTCATTGAAGCTTTACAACTTTCTATAGAAGGATTAATAAGATATAAAAAGAGAAGTTTTTATCTTCTATGTTATCATTAAGCTCCTTAATATTACAAAGCCTTTGTATGTTTTAGCTTAGAAACATCTCTAGTACAAGATATGTATCTTTAATACCTTACAAACAATGATGGATACTTGGCTATAATAAAAATCTATAATTCAATAAAATTTTAATATTATATCAAATAATTAGTAATAGAAATATTAAATTATCATCATAGAATAGACTTAATAGAGGCAATTAACATTATGCAATAAAAATTATGAAATTAATAAATATTAAATTATATATAAAAATATAGTAATTTTTTAAATTATTCTACTTAAACTAGCAACTATTTGAATTATCCTACTTATTGATACAAGCTCATATTAATCTATGGTTTGAATTCAAAGTTGGGCTTTGGTTATCAATTTTGAATTGACTGCTCATAACTTACTTAGCTCTCTAACTCAAGTTGCCTAAGTATTGGCAAAAGTAGCATAAGCGTCAATCCAAAGATTGCTATGTTATATTTCTTCTTGAGACTACTATAGTTGTTCTTTAAGAAATTTTATTTATATCTTTAGTATATTTAGTCTCTTTGAGATCTCTATTTTCTTGATTAAAAATTTGGAGATTTAAATTAGGTCTTTGAATATACAAACTATGATGGTTATATTAGTCATGATGCCAAAAAATTTGAAATAGATGTCCCTAAGATGATATATAGTTATTTAGATGCATCAAATAATTTGGTAAATGCCATCTTTATTATGCTCAAGAGAGATTGGTTTCTTTGCTTTAGTAATTCAAATAGTATGGTGGCCTTTATCCTTTTCTATTTTAAAGATGATATTACCTCTTACATTGATTTTACCTTGGCAATTTCATACTTCTCTAATTGAATATTGTTCCTTTTGTCATCAATTAATTTTTTAGAGCTATTATGTCATTTTTTTCTATATCCTTTTTTTTTTTTTTTTTTTTTTTTTTTTTTTTTGTTGGAGTGCACAATTCTTTGGCTTAGTAAAAATGATAAAAAAAAGATAAGATGGAAAATTAATAACTCTTACTTTTATTGGCTATTGCTTATAATATTGAGTTAAGAAGTAACTTAACTTCACTTAGGGCCTATATTCTAGTAATAGATCCTATTAGTATCATTTTTTAAGTCTTATTTATTTGCTTTGGATGGTTTAGATGAAAAATCAAAAGTAAAAATTTAAATATCCGCCAATGTTGTATATCCTATATTTTGCTAAACTTATGCTTTTCTTTTGGATTATATTTGTCAAGAGTGAAGATTTTTGCCATTTCTTGAATCAACTTTTTTCTTATTTTTCTTATTCTTCAATTGATTTGTATGTATAATCAATGAAAGATCATATTTGTTGGATTTCTTCCAAATGGTGTTTTGTATCATACAAAGCACTAATCTTGAAATCAATTCTCTAGCCATTCCTTTATTGTAGAACCACCTTAGTATTTGATGAAGTTTTTTATATTCCAACGTGGTGAGATTTTATTGCAACTTTGTTCTCATAATATTGTCTTCAGTATTGTTAAAATTAGCTTATATAGCTATATTTGAATTATCAACTTTGTTGCTCTTTTTGCTGATTCTTTCATCCTTGACTACTTAACTACCAAATTAACTATGTTCTAGCAACCTCTATGTTCTTTGTTCTAGTTGCACTATAAATATCTTCAAAATAAAATAATAAATTCAAAGAAAGCTTTTGTTCTTTTTTCTCTTAAATTCAAGTAGGATTTGTGCATTGGGCCATACCATTGGATAATGGTTCCAAATTGTGTGAGGAAACAAGTGGGACCCAAGTTGTACCTTCTTCTATTTGTTATTTTAATAAAATTTGGCATTTAATATTACTTGTATATTGAAATAATTGTTTGTCTAAGAATTAATTCCTTTCTATCTTCAAAGTGGTATTTCAATCAATTCAAGCTACATAAGGATATTATTCCTTGCCATAAGTCAACCTTCAATAACTTATGCATTTCAAAACTTGGTTTGATAATCCAATATCAAATAGTTTTTTTTTTTTTTTTTTTTTTTTTTTTTTTGACCAATTTCTTATTTCAAAATTTTATGGCTCTTATTGTTTTTATAAGATATACGTTCATATTATTGCCATATTTCTTCTATATGTTTAATTCTTTTATTTATACATAATCTAAGCTCATTTATTAAACTATCATATGAGTTTAATCTCTATTATTAATTATTCTATTCCTAGTATATAAATTATATTTTCATATAAGTCTCTTGCATCTTCTTTTTTATATAAGTATTCATGCAAAAATTTATTCTTCTACTTAGTTCGGTTCTTCTAAGTTAGAAGGATTGCCTTCTTTCATCTTGTTATCAAAAAATAGCATGTTATTATATACCACTTTTTTTCCTCTTAAAATTTTCTTATTTTTTTTAGAATTGTGTCTTATTATTCTTCTAGGTCATTAATAGCATCCAATCTTTTTTCTTATGCATTTTTCTTTTCTTTGATTATAGGAGCATATATCCAATAGATCTTTAATAAGGAAAATTTAGCATAATTGGAAGCTTACTTAGATTGTTCAAGTTTGCTAAAAAGGTATTTTTAAATACCTTAATCATTGTAACTTCAAGATAAGATCAAACCTCTCTATAGCCAAATGCTTGATGTATTTTTAAATTAATTTTGAAAGAACCAAATTTATAGATTGGAAGAAAATACTCTTAATTTGCTTAAGTGTCAATTGTTCTTCTTCTCCAACTTTAATGTTAATCTTCTAACTTCAACAACTTCATTTTACAAAAATTAAATTTTAATTTTTTTAATTTATATTAAAAAATATTTTAATTATAAATATACAAAAAATACATTTAATCCAACCAACAAATTTCTAAAAATTATAGAAACCCTCAATGATCTTCAAAATCTAATTTTCAAGATCCTAATCTACTTAAAATTTAATAACCTTTGATTTAATTATCTTATTAGTATTATATTTATATTACCTGTATAATAAAACTATACTTAAATATATATAATTTTTTATTTATAGATATATTATAAAATTTATAAAATTTATTAAAATATAACATCATATTTATTCTACAAAAAAGAAAGTTATCCAAAATAATCTCAACTTTGCAAAGCTCTTACAAAGATATTATAATCTCAAATTTCTCAAATCTAATACTTAAAGAAATTGCATCAAGTATTTTCTCTAATTCCACTCTTCAATCAACAAAAAATCATATATTTGCTATAAGTACATAATTTTGTGCCTCAAGGTTTGGTTTTAATCTTTGTTTACAACCAATCTTCTTTAGAGATCAATCCAAGATTTTTCTAAGTGATTTTTGCTATTTTATTTTATTTTTTTGAATTTTATCTTAAGTTCTCTATATTATCATTTTTGCTAACCTACTTTATTTTGTCTTCTTAAGAGTCCTATAAAGTAAGTAGAAGTATTTTTTTTTTAAAAAAATACAATATTAGTACTAAATTATTTTTATTTACCTTCCTACTTTTTATCTATATTTCTAAAGTAACCTTCTATTATATTTTAAAATAATTTCTTCTATAATATATATATATATATATATATATATATATATATATATTCTTTAATAGTTATATTACAATATAACACCATAGACTAGAAAGTATGGAATGTGACTCATAGTTACTTTGTAAGTTGTATTAAAAGTGTATGTTTTTGATGCTTGCTTTTCATCCTTGTCTTGTTTGCAAGGGGCTATCACTTTTGTGAATATCCACTCAATGGTTTGATTGAATTGTTTAATAAGTCTATTTGCTTTTGGATTGTATGGACTAGTTTTTTTTTTATATTTGACTATATACTTATTTATTAAGGTAAGGGTAATGTCATGTAATATGGCATCAAGTGCCAAATCATATCAAATGGATATTGATACAATCTATGATGGATTCTAAGCATAATTGGGATCTAAAACTTACATTTGTTCTTCAGTTTTATTAAATTACATTTTATTTATTTTTTGTTTTGTTTTGTTTTGTTTTTGTTTTGTTTTGTTTTGTTTTTTTTTTTTAATTTTTTTTTTTTATATATATTGAAAACATGTATTTTTGCAAGTGCCTTTGTGTGTTTATGTATGAGAGCACATATAATACACATACATTTTTTGAACTTCAATTTTTTATTAATTTTAAAATTTTATAATTTAAAGATTTTAATTATAATTTTAATTCATTTAAATCTAAAATATTTTAATAAATAAATTAATAATATTTCATATATATATATTATTATTATTAAAGATGAATATTAATTAATTATTTAAATTTAATATATATATATATATATATTTAAAATATAAAGTATAATTTACTTGGTGGTTAAAAGCTTTGTATTAATTTCTAATTAACTTACTAAATTATTAACAATATCAACTAAGAGCACAAAAAATATATTTATATATATATATATATATATATATAGACAAATAGTTTAGCTCTTATAGATATACATGTATATATTAAACTATGTCACAATCCATCTAATGTTTATATTTCTTAGTATGATTGAGTTTTCTTCATTAAAAAAGTATGGGCTGTTTTTTTAAGATATTGGTCTATTGAAGCACTCAAATTCTACCTCTAATATGTCAAAAGATAAATAATTATTACTCGTGAGGTAATGGGTGTTGAACAAGAAACTACTTGTAATTAAAGGCAAATCATGTATCTAATGACAAATAGCCTCTTTGGCCATTGTTAGTGAACAACATCTTATCTATCTTTATTATATCAAATAAAAGAATAGAATGAAATTTATAAATAAATAATGAATCAAAAAGTGACTAATTCCAAAGTCATCAATGAAATATTTGATGCATGGCAAGTGGAGATCTATACACACGATTTGGCTATTGTAAGTGGTGTTTGTGACAGTTGTTAGTTGGTTGAACTCTATTCAAGGTTCAGTTATTGGTCCTTGGTGGCTAAGGAGGTGTGCTTCACATTATTCATTAAAGTCGTCATGAAAATTAGTATAACATTGCAAATTATTATAGTTATTACAAAGCAAGGATCTTTTTTTAGTGAAGTTGTCCATGAGGTACTACCAATAGTCCTTGCTTATTGATTAGTCAGCAAGATTATTGGAGAAGAGATTGCTACTCTTCTTTATTCCCTTGTAGTTGTGTTAGGTGGTGGAATTCATATAAAAACACTCAACCAATTATAAGCCTTTACGTTTTTTAGGTGTACATATAGTAATATGAGGTGTGTGTTTGTAGCAACTTAAAATGTGCTTATAGCTTGAGCCATAGATGAATATTGCCTGAGAAAATATTATTTATAGAAAATCAAGGATATATATATATATATATATATATATATATGCCCTATTTGTTGCTTGTTGCCTTAAAAATATTATCTATAATAACTTGAAGTAAATGATTTTTTTCTACAAAATATTTACTTGTTACTTGGACCAATAGATGGATACTAAGCAAGATATAACTTATCTTTAGATTTTAACTTTGTACATTCTATGGATTGAACATACACCATGTAGGCTAATCTTGGTAGTTGAGGTAGGAATTAATTCTCTAAGTATGGCAGATTTGAACCTAATTGATGATAAAATTTCTATTCCAATACACAATGAATAAAAATTTAATTTTCAAAGACTATAATAAATGAGCTTTTCTCACCAAGGATGAAAAAGCTAATTCTTGGTCTCCCTTTCTTTTATAAGGCTTTTAAATGAAGTGCAAACAATCAAAAGATTTGGTCCTATCCAAATTACATTTGGATGAATACCAATGTCAAACTGATTACAAAAATTCATCTTTTTGCACTTCCTAATTTCAGGATTGATTCTCAATGGTCAGTACTCCACCCTACAACAAGATGTATTCTTCCCTTATATAGCGAATTCGTGACACGCCGTCCATGTCACTCTGCCTCAGGACGGTGTTCTTTACGGGGTTAGCAAAGCAAGTGCCGAAGACAATAATCTCAAATCTAGGAACATAGCATTCGGAGGATACTTAAGTCCACTGGATGGATATATGCAGCATCAGACATTGAAGTTGAAAGAGATGTTTTCAGATGTCTCACCGTTACAACAAGGTTTCTCGGCATACTGTCGTCGGCGTGAAGCTTGTGAATGGTGTGCTGACGCGTTCTGAGTCCTGCAAAGAGTGGAAGTGCCACGGTTAAATTACAAGCCCAGTACTAAGTAGAAACGCGCTAACTCACACAAAAGCTTCAAATCATCTCCTCTAACCTCAAATTATATAAGATTCTTCAACTCGAAATAATCGCTCACTTTCGCCTTCTGTGCTCTTAATCAGACGGAGCGGTTAGCTCACCATGTACTGAACCAAAGCTGTCTGCAGAGAGCATTAATAATCCCGTCATCACCCATGTGCATCGCAAAGCAAAGCTGGCCATCTTTCTATCCAACTGATCAGTCCATCAAACCTGTTCAAGATCTGTAAGAATCATTACATCGATCTCTTTTGATTGTCAAGCCGATCGTCATCTCTTCTATGCGGTGCTGGATTCAGTCATTAGCTGATGTAGCAGCAATTAATTCCTTGCTTCCTGCGTTGCTCAAAGCAATCGAACCAGCAGATTACTGGAAGTTTGCCATCGAATTTCTCGACCTATCCAACAAGTACATAACAAAAGTCAAAAAGACTCGACCTGTACGTCAAATACATTTGACAAGAATGTCGTCCGTGCAACTTTCGCAGGAGATTCGAGCACAGTGTTGAAAAGGGAGTGAGTAACATATGCATCTGACGCTAGACTATGACCGCTACGCTTTTAACAAAAACATGTAATGATTCAATGCTTTCTTAGTCAGTTTATCCCTCAGAAGCGTTATCAGTCGGTAGAAAAATTGTCTGACCTGATCCAGAGTTGCAGGTTGAACACCGTGACCCCAAATGGACATGAACATTCAGAAAGTATGGAACTTTGGAAAGACCCCAACTTGTCGTCGACTATAGATCTGGTTTTCAGTCGGTAAACACGACTACTAGTTTCGGTGCTCTTTCAACTTGAACCAAGTCGTGGGTGGTATGCAATGCTCCCTCACCAGTTGGCAGGAAACCGATTGGGACTGACAGATTCATGTATCTTGAACGAGAGGACAAAGGCAGTCAACGTCTCTCAATAAAATTGTCAAGGTCTACTGGGCGCAAGGCGTGCTGAGGTTATACACGTGGGATCCACAAACTGGTACTGCAGCGTTGCTTAAGCGTGGCTGATAATCTTGGAAGAAGCGCTGAAAAAGTATGCAGAGGCTTTTGTGTTCAGAGACATCCTGGTTCGAGACTTGGTAGTCTGAGTGCTTGCTCGGCATTTTACCTGCTCTGTTCCAGTCCTCGTCTGTGCAGGTCGAGGACTAGATTTCCTTTTTCATACGGACACCACCGAAGTCGGAGAAATTTTTTTACACACGTAGGCATGGTCTCGGTATCTACAAATTGCTTTGCAGAAAGCAAAGCTTCGGAAGCACTGATCTACTAACAGCCTGCAAACCATACCTTCGAAACATCGTTCTGCATTCTCAAGGGCGAACAGGGGCTTTGAAGTTCAATTGGAGTTAGATCGATAAGGCAATATATCACTTTGTTAAGTATTGTGGCTAAAAACCAAAACCAACAATAATCAACAAACAAGACAACAATAAGGTAATATACTATTATTGTGGTTTAGAAAAGTAAATTTGATTCAAGTCAATTACATTGTCTTACTCTAATCTAAAATTGCACTTACTTTTGTCATAAATTTAGTCATAAAAAGGAATATAGATGTATCCGATTTAGGTGGTTCTTAGATTAACATGATTTCACATAAATTATAAAACTTTGCATAACTTATAAAATTTTCATCCATTGAAGTTATAAATTAAGTAGAGTATGTTTGCAATATCATTCTTTGATCTTCAATATAGTATAAGAAGAAGAGACATTATGATGAATTATATAGAGAAATTTTTAAAAAGGAAGGAGATCAAATAATAAAAAATGAAGATAAAAATAAAGAGTTAGTTAGATCTTGTAAAAGTATAAAGAAGTAAATAAGCAAAGGATGACAATATAAGGGAGTAAGATAATGATTCAAAGATACATAGGAATAGGCTCAAGCTCTTCTCAAAATACACCTATATAAATACAATAAGAATTAATGCAAAATATAGATTTTTCTTATATGATATATATATATATATATATATATATATATATAAATATATATATATTTTTTCTTGTTTTTTTTTTGTTTTAATCATTTTATGCAATTAAATATGATGAATCCAAAGTAGAACTAGTACTTTAACTTATTATTTAGAAAAATAATATAAAAATATATTATAAATTTATAAATATTTTGAGAGAACGAAGTGGTTAAAATTTATAAATAAGAATGGTAGTTGGCAATAAGATTAAGTTAACCAAAAAAAATTCTTTTTAAAAGTTAAGAGAAAGAATTATTACTTTAATAATTATCAATTGTATTTTAGAAGAAAAACAATTTATCAACAGTAGTATATAAAACATTTCTTATAATACAAAAAGATTTTAAAATAAAGATATAGAGTGACGTCAAGTTATGGATTTAATTGTATATAAATGATATAGAATAAGAAATTTTGAAATTTTGGTAAGATAAGTCTTACTTTCATGTAGTACAATGATTATATATATATATATATATATATATATATATATATAGTATTAGAAAATACCAAATTTCTTAAATAAATGAATTGAGTTAATGAGTAGTTAAAAATGCTCTAAAATAATGACTAAACTTCAACAATAAGAACATCAACAAGAAAGCAATATAATAAGACACAAACAATGAGATAATGTATTATTTTATTTTATTTTATTTTTTTTGGATATGGCATGTAGCTATTAAAACTTATTCTACAAGTTTTCTACTTTTAAGAAGTTAATTTAGAAGCAAACTACAACTTGAGACTTTGGCCAAAAGCCTTGCAACTCTTAGAAAGCTTCTAGGTTTAGGATTTAGGATATAGGGTAATAATTCTAAATAAATAAATAATCTAGTAATTTAAATAATTATTTCTATTAAATTTAAATTAGATTATGTAAATTTTGTTGTATCATAAAATTATGTATTGCTAAATTTTCAATTAACTTGTTCTAATTTTTAAATTTTATTTAAGAATTAGTTTTAAAAATAATAATGTAAAAGCAAGATCAATATTAATTCCAATATTGTCATCTCTTTCTTTTAATTATATTTATCATGTGGCTTATAAGCTTTTTTGTACCTCTCTATAATCTTTTGATTCTAATAATTTACTACAATACAAATTTATTGTAGTTACAACTTTTTGGTATTTTTTTCATAATATTTTTATTGTTACTTACAATTCAAGTTTATTGTAGTTACAAATTTAATTAATAACTTAATTAAAAACTTAATTAAGTTTGCATTACATATAGTTTTTAAATTAATTTCAACACCAATCTAGAAAAGTTTTTGTTTGTTGATATTTAAAAATGTATTACATGTATTCTATTGTGAAGAATTAATTATTTAAATATTTAATTTAAGCTTAATATATATTAAATAAAAATTTAAAATATATAATAATCATTATAATTTTTAACTTTATATTCTAAAAAAATGTATTGTTACAAAATTCTGAAATAATAATTACAGAAAAACTTGAGATGGATTTAAACACAAACCAAATTTAATACCTCATGAAAGTAATAAAAATCATGCTTTACCATGTCACAAGTAATTCAAGTGCCCAATCAATAATAAATAAAGCTAGGAAACATTTAAAAGCAAGTAAAGGACTATGGTGATTTTGCCAAAAAGACATTGGTTCAAAATAAACAGTTAAAAGTTGACATTACATAAAAATTGGATAGAAAATAGAAACCTAGAAGACATAAGTGGATGAATAAGATGTTTGTAATTTTTGTCTTCTTTGGACAATGATACAAAATAGAAATACTGATAGAATTTAGAAGATTTCCCTCTAAACTTGATCAAAAGATAGCTCGAAATTGATCCATTTGATTGTTTATATTCATTACATATTGAAGAGCAAAGTTGCTCTACAACATAGAAGGCTACACCTAATTCTCATGCTCTGCCACCCAGAGATATTGATCAGAGAAGAGAATGACAATGCGGGCGTTACAGGAAACCAACTCTTGTAGAGTCAGCAAACAAGCGAGCAAAGGTCAAGCTTGTCAGAACCTCTACCACGTTCAATGTTGCACCTGTCGCACACTCCGCTTGGCTCCACAATTAATCTAGAGCACGTCTTTGCTTCTCCTCGCCTATCTCGCCCAAATGGCACGAGGAAGGATGGACAACCACATCGCACTGGGAAATGTTTTCAAACTGGCATTTAACACAAGGCAACTGCACTAGAGTGGTGTGCGTCAACACCTTAGAGCTGTGACCTCACAGGCAGTGTCACTGTCGATTCAATCCTTAACGCTCGGATAGAAGTGGACACAACACTAACAAACAAACTTCGTATTCTCATGTGCATGGGACGTCACCGCTTTGTCATTTCCACTCGGGTTCAGAATCAATGCACGTCAGAAATCAAAGCCAGTTGGTGCGGGGACCAGCCATGACCACGATTACCAACCCACTGTGCAAAAGCCAGAAAGGTGAAATCTTGGACGTGGAACGAAGGGCACAAAATGCAAAGAATAGACAGGCCAAAAATGAGTTGGAGAGTTGGGAGAACAAACAAACTTGAACAATTCCGTATCTAGTGTACATTCCGAAGCGGGAGGATGACTTCCCGACGGACAGTCAGTCACAAAATTGAGTAATAATACTCACTGCGATGTGGACAACTGGATGGCATTGATAAAAATCCGTCGCAGTGTGCAACTTTTCCTCTATGATGATCTCATTTGATATCCATGAGAGATACGTCCCTCAGCGCCGACTCCACTACACATCCTCCAATTGTCACATCTGAAGCAAAGAACCTCCAGCTCCCGAATAGCATTAACTCTTCTCATGGGGTCAACACGTCAAAACCAACTCCTCATCAACTCTACCCTACTCCTACAATGCCCATATTGGATGCGCTCTGCCTCCAAACTCTGGCTCCCTAAACCCCCAATCCTACAAAAATCTGCTGGTCCTCAAATCAAGTTCCCAACCACAATCAGTTCTCTTCTCACTTTGCGGTAAGCTTCTCGCATCCCCACCTCCACCTACGCTCGCCTTCCACGCCCCAGCGCTGGGTACGCACTGCCAGTGCACCCCAATTTTCTAGAGCACAAGAATGTCTGAGCCATTCAACCAATCGAAGCTCTCCCTCCCGTCGCAGTCGAACTCCAGGTAATCCACGTCGTCCCCCAAAAACTCCAACCCCGCCCCGAACTCCACCATTCCAGCTCCTCCGTCGTCGCCCACGCCCACGCCCACGCCCGCCCAGTCCATCATGAAGTCGTCCGACAGAAACACCTCCCCCAACCCCGACCCACTTTGCACCTCCACCGTTCCATTGCCCTCCTTCGCCCTCTCCGACTCGCAGCTGTTCCCGTACGAGCTGCTCGTCACCAGTTCCTCTCCGCCTCCTCCTCTCCCCACCCGCTCGCTGCACCCCGTCAGGCTCGAGCATGGCGACCCCTCCGACTCCTCCATGCTCGGCGACGACGAGCAAGGGGGCCCCATCCAATACCCGCACTCCTCGCTCCAGTTCTCCAACTCCTCGCTCAAATTCCCCAGCTCCTCGCTCAAATCGTCCAACGCCACCTCCCCGCTCATCGCACCCTCCTCAATGCTATCGCATCCACCCGCCGTCCGCAACTCCTCCTCCTCCTCCCCCTCTTCCACCTCTCCCCTCCCACACCTCTCACCCTCCTCCTTCCCCCGCCGCCGGCCCTCCTCTCCCTTTCTGCTTTTCGCACACGACGCCTCACATCCGGACGTCGTCATCGTACGCACTACCGCCCCAGATTGCTCCAATTCCCTCTCCTCGCTGAAATTCGTGTGCGCCGACGGCCCACGAATCTCCCGCGCGGCTTTGTCATACGCCTGAGCTGCTTGCTCCGCGGTGTCATACGTCCCCAGCCATAGCCGGACTCCTTTCGAAGGGTCCCGGATCTCCGCCGCCCACTTTCCCCACGGTCTCTGCCTCACTCCCCTGTACTTCTGAGGCTTTCCGTGTATCCCCGTTGCAACCAAGGCGCCCTTCGTTTGTCGCTTCGCTGCCACTGTGGGTTTAGCTGTGGACACAGTTGTGCTTCGACCCACGGGTGCCCAACCGGCTACGCTACCCTTCGCGGTCTTAGCAGCAGGCGTGGCTGGCTGTGCGTCCTTGGGCATTTTCTTCTCCGGCATCTTGAGAGCTTTCTTTTGCGATTGCCAGGATTTCTTGTAAAATCTGGAGGACTCCAACATTGCGTCTCCGTCGACAGGGCTCGCATAGCTTACCGTGCACTGCATGGCTTCAGCAGTGAACACGCTGTGATAACTGGGCACCTCAAGCTCATCAACCTCACTGTCAGATGCCGACTCGTCCACCATAGTGGAAATGTGAATTTCCTGTAGCCTCCTGTGAGGATTGCGCACGGAGTGGAAGTTATCCTTCTCGTCGCTGGACGAGTCCGTCGCGTCGGGGTCCGTGCATATAACTCTCTTTGGAACTTTCTGAAAGCCATCATTTTGAGCACCCTCGGCATCGGAAGAGGAGCAGCAGTAGTCGCTATTCACAGTTTTTCCATGAACGATACTGAAGGACTTCCTCTTGAGAGAACGAGGAGTTATGCAGCCACTACTATACATTTCACCACAATCTAGGATTGCGACTACTGCACTCGATTCAATTCAAAATAACTTCTTAAGACTCGTGACTAAGTGAGCAGAGCACGCCGTAAACTCTACCGCTCTGCTTCCTATTCTAGCTTCACGGGCAGATCTCTCCACACTCACCGAGAAATCTCTCACCAGACGGAGAGTGAATCCACCTCTTGACATCCAGCTCAACTGCAACAGACCCACGCTACGCGACAAAGCTCCACTACTGGCGGTTGCCGCCGTTTTGCCCGCTGAGACGAACACCGAAACCAAGAAGCGCCGTCTCCCACATTCCGCTGTCCAGGCGCAAGACGGCCCGAGTTCCGCCTCCGTTCTCCAAATTAAGCGAAATTCACCGATGCGAGGTGGAGTTTCCTAAGAAGGACGAGACTTGCCTCTCGGCACTGTAGACAAGGGCCAGAGGCCGGAATTGGCAAGTGAATATTGCGCGACGGTGAAACCGGACGCCGAGCGGGATCTTCGTGGGTACTTCTTGTCTGATGTGGCTGGAATCAGATTTCTGAGCTCTCGTTTTCCTTTTCGCTCCAGCGGAGAAGAACTGTTTCAGTCTCGCCGAATTGTCGGTACCCAACGCTCGGTGTGGATCAGGCAACAACAACATGGCATCTTGCCGATGCATGCTTTTGCTTCGGTTCGGCGCCGAATGGCCGCAATTCCTTTCGAAACCACGTGTCTTCATTGCCATGAAATTTGGGTGCCAATACACTGAGCCCTGCTGTGTGAACGCGGCCTTGGCTCTCTGACGTGGAGGCGAGGCGCTGCCACCTCTCGCATCCTTCCTGCTGGAGCTGAGTGTGAATGCCACGTGGATCCCTCTATTCTCCATTTTTTGTTTGGTTTCTTCATTTCGCTTCGGGAATTTTAGTTTGGTTTCTTCTAATTTCTGAAGAAAGATTGAAAAATATCTTGAATCAAGTCTTTTGACTCCTTTAAGATAATTAGATAGTTTTCTTACAATTACAAAAAAAAAAAAATGACTAAATTAGACAACACAAAAAGTCGGATTGATATTATCTTGACAATATGGCACTTGAGTGTTTGATATGGATAGAAAATAAAGATAGTAAAATGAATTCAAAACATACAAAATATGTGTTTTTTTTGAATAATTTGCAATTACATAATTATTATATTAGAAAAGTTGATGTATTCATCAATACTAGTATTGATACCTCATTGGTATTATTTGAATCAAATTGAATTTCTTAAGAAGATTGATGTTACATGAATATTAAAAATAATCTTAATTGTAGAGAAAACTAAAATTAAATTAAAAATCAGATATTTAAAAATGTTGTTTTGAATATTAAAATGAAGTATTATTCTTAATTTTAAAAATTTTAAGTAAATAAATATTATTTTAAAGATCAATTAATTTTATTCTATATATATATATATATACATAAATAAATAATTAATATATTAAAAAATACAAAAAATTAACAATTATTTTTAGTTAGATACTAAATAATTATTAAAATTATTAAAGTAAAAATAAAATATTATGTAGAAAAATTAATCTTAAATAAATTGCTAATGGTTAAAGCATAGCAAAAGGATGAAGTTAAGTCACTAATGTATCTACTAGGATTTTAAGTCATAGCTAGGTTAAGAAGAATCTACAGTTTACTTGAATGAAGCAAAGAAGGATGAAGATAATTATAGATGAAGTTCAACTACAATAGATGTAAGTTCCTCCTATTATTACGGACATCCAACAAGAAGATTTTAGGAATATTTTAGAATATTCTATTAGGTTATAGAAGATTCTAAGAGACTCCTAAAATATTTTTAGAAGATTTTAGAAGATTCTTAAAATATTCTAATAAGTTCTAAATCAAAGAAGTTATTTTAGAAGCTTCATAGGATTGTTTTATCTTTAAGCAACATGAAAACTTCTTAAGAATCTTCCTAATACGTAGTATATATTGTAGTCAAGGTTTAGAGGATCTTTAGTCTTAATAACACATCCCTTGGAGCTCTAATTCACCTCTCTTGGTATTGATCTTCTATTCATCTAGTTTAATCAAGTCTTTGTTAGCTTTCTTTTTGAAACTCTTTTGATCAACTTCTTATTTGGTCTCTTGTATAATATATCTATGACAGTTTGTTGAGAATTCTTTCTTATTAATATTAGAGCTTAATTCTTCTTAATAGAGAATAGGTTGCCCCTCTTCTTGAAGGCATTTAAGTGATTTAGAGATTGCAGAGTATCTTCTTCTAAATTAGCATTATTTTTATTTTTATTTTTTTTGAGATAGTTGGAGGTGAAGATTTTACTATAATTGAGTCTGTCAAGTCAAAGTTAGATGTTATTATAAATACACTAAACACTTTAGCTTGTAGAATTATTGAAAATGAGAGATTTTTTGAAAGATTTCATAGTGATGCAAGACTTGGAGTAAATATCAAGGACATGAATCTTAAAGAAAGAAATCCTCAATACACTCTTTTGTCATTCAAAAGAATTAGAAAGTCACTCAAAGATGATATAGTATTAAACTAGAATGGCTATTACTAAAGATAAGAAGACTAAAAAATCTTCAAACAAGACTAAAGACTACAAAGGCATTGATAAGTATAAAAAAGGCTTCACTCTTGCTTCCATATATATATTTTTAATTAAGAACTATGTGGTGATGTCCTATAGAACCTCCAAAACGTATTGACTTTGCAAGACACATATCTTAATTTGTGATACAAGTTTTTTATATGTATGCTACATAGTTAGCTTATTCTATAAGCTATCAACATGTGATTAACTAATTGACTAAGATTCTAACCTACTAATCAACTACAAATATAAGTCAAAGTAGTGCCTATAAAGCTTCTTAGAAGCTTCTCTAAAAAGTATTATGAAATTAATCTATTTTTATCTACTTTTATCAACTTCTACCTAAATATATAGGTATTTATTAGAGTATGTATGTATATCTATGACATTATGCCTTCTTTCTAAGAACAAGTTCCACAAGGAGTAGTCATTATGTGTTGATGAAATCTAAGATGCAGCAAAATTATATTTCCCACATACCATGATCTTTGTTTTCTTTGAAGATAGTTGATAGGTCCTTTCAGCCATTGATAGTATTTCATGCTAAGCCAAAAAGACGACCTTGTTATTTGATTGTTGTTAAGGCCTTCGTAACTTCCTTACATCTTATTTCTTTTATAGTAAAGATTTGGTATTCTTCATCTTGATTTTTATGGATGTTGTTGATGAAAAGCCTTAACTTTTTTTGCTGAATTTGTAAGATTTTTTTTGGCTTCCATATGCATTCATTAATATCATATCTACGCCAATAAATAAGATATTCCAACTTATTTTGGTCCCATTTTGAATCTAAGACTTCTTCTACCTTGAACTTTTGATTATTATTCACTTTTATAGAAAGACGTGGTATTTGTCTTCTTCTTGAGATATTCACTATTTTATATGGCTCAAAAAGAGACACATGAAATACAGGGTGGATCTTCATAGACTTTAGTAGATGTAATCAATAAGCAACAAGATTGACTTATTTACTAATAAAAAAAGGTCCAAGCCTATAATATTCTAACTTATTACAAAAACAAGTAGCCTTGATATTGTGACAAAATAACCATATCTTATCACCCACGTTGAATTGTGGTTGTTCTTTGTGATAGGCATTTGCATTAATCTTTTGTTGATGGTTGATGATAGCTGATGGTATAATTCAAATATTGCTCTAAAACTTGATTCATCCATTTCATTTATCCATTAGTTTGAAGATGAAAAGTCAAAGAGAATTTTATATCCACCTTTAAAATCTTGATATAAATTGAGTCTTCTTATTTGATATAATATCTTTAGGCAATCCATAATAGCGATAGATGTTGTCAAGAAAAAGCTTAGCTATTTCTTCACTTATATTATATTTTATACATGATACAAAATATGCCATCTTCGTAAAATGATCTACTATCACAAATATAAAATCATACAAACTTGAAATTGAAAGATCTATGATAAAATCTATAGAAATAAAAGATTATGGTTGTTTTGGAATAGATAATGGCAAAAGAATTCCATAAAGTTAAAGGTGAAGAGTTTTGAATCTTGAACAAATATCACATGATTGTATAAAGTCTATGAATGTCTTCTACATTTGAGGCTACTAAATTTTTTTATATATTAGTTGCAAAGTCTTGTTATATCCAAAATATTTAGTTGTTAGAAAGTCATGACAAGTTTGAAGAATATGTAATCGTATCCTGCTTTCTGAAATGTATAATCGCCTCTCAGAATAGAGTAGATTGTTCTTGAACTCAAACTTAGAAGTATCATGAGACTTAGAAGAATTATTCTTAATATCATGGACAAGAAGATCAAAAGATATACTTCCAGAAGATGTGAATTTCTTTAATAAAAGTTGAATCAACAATAAATGTTGATTTTATTGCTCAAAGATGAAAATCGTCTAGCTTCAAGAAAATTATTCTTTATTGATCAAAAGATGCATCTTTTTTTTTTGATGCAAGATAAGAACGTCTAAAAAGGAGGTATAATAATCTAGTTGTTTTTATATTGATAAATGATCTTGAAATCAAATGTTGATAAAGACATGTTCTAATGGGCAATAATTCAAAACATGTGTCAACATGAAATACTGAAGATTCGTATGATTTGTACACACAATGAATGGACTCAAGGCACTTTTTAGATTATAAATCTATAATTGCAAGAATAGTGACGCCATTCTTGAAATGAATCCATAATTACAAAGATCTCTTTGTCATAGATCTTATAATTAATCTTGATTCCTAAAATGTTTATGGAATAGAAAGCTATTCAATGGAGTTTGTCATTTGTTCCTATTTGTAACAATAGTTTACTCAAGGCAAAGTCTAATGCATATGTTTTCATGAATTTTTTTTAGCAAAGTTAATACAATATAAGATTGGTGCAAAAATAAACTCTTTTTTTAAAGCATTGTGTGATGCTTTGACTTCTTTAATCTACTTAAGTTTGTCTTTACAAGTCAAATATATAAGTGGAGCTGAAACTTGAAAAAAGTTCTTTGGATCCACCATTAGCCTTTTATTAGAAATGATGTATCCTAAAAAGTCAACTTGAGTAGTGTAGAATATATACTTTTTTAACTTGGCATATAATCTTGTATCTCTAAGTTTTTGTAACACATGACAAACATGAATTTCACGCTATTCTATACTTTTAGAGTAGATTAAAATGTTATCCAAATAATAGACAAAAAAATCATTAAGGGGTTCATAAAAGATATCATTTATTAGATGTTGAAAAGTAGGTGGTACATTTGTAAGTCCAAAAGGTATGACATTATATTCAAAATGTCCATATCTGGTTCGAAATGTAATTTTTCATTTATCTCTTTTTTTAATACGTGTCATATTATATGTTCCTTATAGATTTATTTTTGTATAGATCTTTGCTTGATTGAATTCATCAAGAAGTCTTGAAATCAAAGGTAGAAGATAC